AAAGTGATGACGAGAAATGTGATAAAAGTTTTCAACGCATACCTATTACTAAACCCGAGACCGACTTTACCGTGAATACCAGTCCCACAGGTTCATCAACCATAGAGTATATGTATCGACCACCAGCACCAAAATACCTGTGCGATCAAGAGGACTGTGACTATTCAACCTATTTTCAGCGTAACCTAAATGAACACCAAAGTATACCAGTCCCACAGGTTCATCAACCATAGAGTATATGTATCGACCACCAGCACCAAAATACCTGTGCGATCAAGAGGACTGTGACTATTCAACCTATTTTCAGCGTAACCTAAATGAACACCAAAGGAGTCACGAAATGGACAGTCCGTTCGTGTGTACAGTCAATGACTGCAAAGAAAGGTTTAAATCAAACGATTATTTGGCTGCACATGAGCTGAGACAACATCCCGACTCCTGTCCCAACACCGCGTACTTCGAGTGCTTGTATACGGACTGTCAGTTTAAGACTAAATACAAACCCGATATTAATTCACACCAATTGACTCATCCGATTATGAAATACAAACCGCCGGTGCTTTTAGGCAACCCTAAAGCTACTAAATGTAAAACTAAGGCTACGGCTACTAAATCTAAGCCTAAGGCTACTAAACCTAAATCTAAACCTAAGGCTAATAAACCCAAACCTAAACTTAAACCTAAGGTTAATAAACCTAAACATAAGGCTCGATGGGTCACTAAATCAGTGGACGGGCTGTTTGTATGCGATTGGAAGGGCTGTGAGAAGAAGTTTAAATGGAGAAGCGATTTATATCGACACAAACTATTACACAATGACAAGCAATGGGTGTGCGATGTGGGCCACTGTACCCATACTTATACGACCTACGCGTCTCTGAAACGGCACCAGAAGTGTGTCCATAGCACCGGGACCTACTGGTGCGACCACAGGGGATGCAAATATAAAACTGGTTACGATTGGCATTTAACTCGACATCTATTATCGCACTCAAAGGAACTCATATTTCAGTGCGATTACATCGGTTGTGGCAAAAAGTTTAACCGCAAACAATATTTAAGGGTACATGAGCTGAGAAAACATCCCGATCTTTGTCCAGACGTACAATGGATTCACTGTAAGCATATGGGCTGTAAATATAGGACTAAATACAAACCAGATCTATTGATACATAGTGTCAAACACCTTGGTAATTGTAATATAGATCCAAGCGTATGCCCTCCCAATCAAACAGTGACTCCCATAACCGCTGTTAATGAGGTTGTGAATGTAAATCACGAGTCAATTGATGGCAACATTAATGAATTCAATGCTAATTGTAATAATAATAACGATACGATTGATACGAATTCAGACATCAAACAAAAGATTGATTTATTGGACACTAAAGTGAAGACCGAAAATACCGGAAATTTATTTTGATTGTCAATGAAGTGGGGAAATAGTGGAAAGCCTTTGTGGTAATTGCTTTGGAAACTACTGTGAAGTTTAGTATAATAGTTTATTATGGTCTAACTTTCAATTATTTTATAAGTTTAAATTGCATTTCATTGTATCATATTTATTAATTTTACAATTTATATGATGATAATAACTTTCAATATTAAATAAAATCAGGTAATAAAATTTATAATGTTAACCTAACCTGAGTGAGTGAGTGAGTTAGTGAGTGTGAGTTAGTGAGTGTGAGTTAGTGAGTGTGTGTGTGTGAGAGAGAGAGAGAGAGAGAAAAAGTTTATAAACTTTTTGAGACGTTTTATATCTCATGAATCAAAACGTGGAAATCATGTGATTCTCTAATTTCCCGCTATTTTGATAGTATTAAATGTCATCAAAAACACGTGTTTTTGTTATTACTTGTCATTTAGTGGTATTTAACACACAATTAGTGCCTTAAAAATGTGTCAAACTTTTGATTCATTGTCTCATTTAAGTCGCGAAGAGTTGTATTCATTAGTGAATGCATTGAAACGTCAAATCAATTGTTTGTCAACAGATTTATTGGGATATGAATTGCTGTCAAAGAAATGCGAAAACTATTCAAAAGTATTGCAAAATAGTCATCAATTTAACGCTGAATTGACTGAAGATATCGTGGATTTGGTGGCAATTAATGACATCCAGTGTTACGTCGATTGTGGACCACGTGTTGAGTCCATCTCTGGAAGAGATTACGAAAGCGATGCTAATAATGAGGACCCAATTGAATGTCACTTTACGGCCACATCTGAAGACATATCAGTGGATAACCAGATGAATGACGAGTCGATCAAAAGCGATGGACACGAATTGAGTGCCGAAGACGTCAATGACTCTGATGTCAGTATTGATTGCGAAGTGGGCTATGAATCAGAGGACGAGATAATGAGTGAAAAGAGTGGTGCGAATGAAGACTCAACTCACGACTCGGTTACGAGTCTTAAGACAACACACGATATCAACCGATGGGCTCAAGAAGTGCTCAAAGAGTGTGATATCAATCGCCAGACAATGGATGAGACGGTCGGCCGAACCGGCGCTGAAAATAGCTATCAATCGATGGACGACTCGAATCGGAAACGGGACTCAAGAGGGGAAAGGCGTGCGAAGACATCCCGTAATCTATTGAATGACGCGAACAGTGAGTCAACGAATGGACAGACTGTCCATTCGGGCGAAAGGTTTTTCTGCGATTACAAGAACTGTTGCAAACATTTCTCGCATTGGATTAACCTCTTCAGCCACAAGCGGTCGGGCGCTCACGTGTTTGGACAGCCGTATCGGTGTTGTGTCAATAGGTGTCACTTCGAGACCGCATCCAAAGAGGCATTAGTGGACCACATGGCCACCGGGCATAAGACGCGGGTACACCTGGATGTGAGCGGCCATTGCGACACAATAGATGAGACCATGGATGAGACAATCGACGCCACTGTTATCGAAGTTGGCGACGACTCGATGGACGACTCGTCTGAGCCGCAAGAGTCCATCGGATCCCGTCTCACGAAGTGGCGCCTCAAGACATCAAGTAATCCAATGAATGGCAGTCGAAACGCGACGCCAGACGTCAAGGGACAGTACGCTTGCGATTACGACGGGTGCGACAAACGCTACGATAACGCCCGCCTTCTGGAGGCTCACCGCACGGCCCACACGGGGCGCAGGTTTTTCTGTGATTACAAGACATGTCGCAAACATTTCACATACGAAAGCGCTTTGAAAAGGCATAAGAAGTTTGGCGATCACCGGTTTGCGCGCGACTACCTGTGCGCTGTCGGTCACTGCCAATTCAGCACCCAATCCATACACGTATTACAAGAGCACGTGATGGATGAGCACCGGTCGCGTCGGTGTCCCGTCAATAGCTGTCGAAAAGGGTTTAAATCGGTTCGCAATTTGGATGAACACGTGGTGAGCGCCCACCCGATGCCAATGCCTGTCCATTCCGTGCGCAATGACTGATACAATTGGCAACTACTCCACCACTTAATGTGCCTTTCATTTCATTTATTCATATCTACCGTAGTTTTAAACAGTTATTATTAATTATTTTTGGAGTACTGTATTAATTAGTTTTAAAGTTTTGTAATGTTTTAAAGTCTTATATAATTGATTTGATAATAAATTTTACGTTTAATTTTAGTTTAATAGTTAATTTGATTACCACTTCAATCAGTGAGTGAGAAAGAGAGAGAGAGAGAGAGAGAGAGAGAGAGAGAGTCATTAACTTTCAATTAATAGACATTTTATATGTAAAGTAAACACACCTTAAGTTGCGATCAAAACATGTGTTTTCAATGAATGAATCGCTTTTTAAATTGTTTTTAATTTTCTATTTAACTGTCAATTATAGTGTCAAACAAAATGAGCCACACTTTCGAGGATTTGTCTTATTTCAGTCGCAAAGAGTTATATTCAATGATAAACGCATTGAAACGTGAAATCAATTGTTTGTCAACAGATTTACTCAGATTTCAATTGCTGTCAAAAAAATGCGAAAACTATTCAAAAGTATTGCAAACGACTAATAAAATCGACGAAAAACTAACGCAAGATATCGTGGATTTGGTGGCAATTAATGGCATTCAGTGTTATCTCGATTGCGGACCACGTGTTGAGACAATCGCCGACAGCGACAGTGAAAGCGATGCCACCATTCATGAAGACACCAATGAATATCACTCTAAGAGCACATCCAAAGACAATACAAGAGATAGTCATCAGACGAGTGCCAAAGGAGTGCATCAATCGGTTGGCAAACCTCTGGAAGTCATACACGAGTCAAAGGATCAGACAATCGACACAAGAGTTGTCAATAAACTCTCGGATGTGTTGAGCGAAACACAGATCTTAAGACAAATTGATAATCAACTGAACGCCACGAATGCTAATACAAACGGCACGTCCACACCAGCCGTACAGTACGTACTGCTATGTCCGGCCCCCACCGCGACCTACCCGTGCCCTACAGTCGGCTGTTTCGCAGTGTTTCCCACATCTGAATCCCTAAACCAACACATGATAACCGTTGGACACATATCGCCATCTGATAAAACTCCTACTAATACCTCAACCACGGTACCGGTAGTACCCGCTGGTGGACAGGTAGCTGACAATAGGACAGCCTTTATACGAATTCCACAAACACGGCAAACGAGACAATCAACGGACAGGCAGTCAATAAACACTGGACACGATTCAGTTGCCAATAAAATCAGTGGTAAGACCACAATCATAACGCCGGTACTAGCAGATGGTGGACAGGGATCTGATAGTAGGACAGCCGCTAAACCAATGCCACAAACGAGTCAATCAACGGGCAAACAGTTACTAATGAAGTGTTCAAAGTGTCAAAAAACATTTAAAACCACTCAAGACTTGGCTCAACACGAGCTGAGAGTACATCCCGAAGACTTGCCGGACATACCATGGATTAAGTGCGCGGAAAATGGCTGTCAGTATAAGACTAAATCGAAATCATATTTACGGCAACACGTGACGACCAAACATAGCGATAGGACTGACCCGGACTACACTCCTACGGACAGGCCCTACAAATGTAAGGTCACTCACTGTCGGGAATCGTTTGATTTGTTGAATGATTTGACGCGACACCAGTTGGCCCGACACCCCGACTCCCTGCCCCACATCACGTGAACTAAGTGCTCAGTCAACGGCTGCTTCTTTAAGACTAAAAGCAAGGACTTGATGACTGAGCACAGGAGGAACCACAAGGTGTTGACCTACGCTAAGGCTAACATCACTGGTGTCACCACCAGACCCACTATTATCATACCCGCTGTTCCCAAACCTACCGCCACCACCAGACCTAATATCATAAGACCTACTGTCGCCAAGACTACTATCACACGTACGGTAGCGAAGGTCTACATGTGTCCAGAGCCCGGTTGTGGCATCGCCTACACCAACGATCAGTACATTTGCAAACATAGTACGGCTGTCAGAGCACAGGCTGCTCAACATAATAGGGCTATTAATATCAGAGCACCGGCTGCTCATTCAGACACCGATTCAGAGGACATAACTATAGGTAACTATTTTATATGTGTGTGAATTAATTGTTTAAATGATTTTAATGTGTGTTTTGTGTTGCAGTGAATGAAGTCCACGCGAACCCTATTGATGACAATGTCATTGAATTGTAGTAACCATTGACACCGACTTCGGATGAATGTTAAATGAAACCCCTTTTAAAACTTTTAATCTAATAACTGATTTATTATTATAATTAATGCATTCTGTGTATAATTGTCATATGTAATTAATTATGTGATTTTTTACGATCTCATCAAAAGTGATCAATTAGATAATTGTCATATCATTGAATAAGTATTGGAAACTAATTGTTATTGCATTTGAAATTTTTATTTATTAATAAATTTTTAATTACTATAAAAGTAATGCATAAAAAATAAATTTTTATAATTTTTGAGTCAAGAAATAGGTTTTTAATGTAATTTAATTACTTTTTAGTGAAAATGATTTTAATGCATGTTTTGTTTGCAGAGATTGTAAAACACGAGTCAATCGACGAGAATGTCATTGAATTCAATGATAACGAAGACTTCAGAATAATGACTGAATTAATGATCAATCAGTTGATACCGGAA